ACATGTTTTATTCTCTTTCTGTGTGAGACATAACATTTTTTAAAAATTAATATATAATATAATTTTATTGTAAAGTGTAATACTTAAGACACAGATCACATGAAGATGAGTGTCCTCTATTTTCCTAATTAATATGTTTTGTCTGATGCAAACAGAGCTTTTGCTTCAGATGCTGACCTTTAAATCACGGAACTTGGGATGACGACTTCTTGGAAAACTTTCTGTCAGGGCTGAGTAACTTTTGAGCCACGAGAAGAGATTTGTGTTACAGAGAGTTCTCAAAACTGTTCTTAACTTAAAATTAGTGAGAACCATCTGGTTAGTAAGAAATATGAAGTAGTTAAAACAAAAATAACACAACAACTCAAGCACTCAAGATTGAGTGAGAATATTTATCTTGATATTCATGCAAGTAGAGTTGAGTATGAAGATAGGATTTTCCTACAGATGGAGTCAGCTTGCTTGGGATTATGAAATTCCTGAAAACATTTGTTGCTGCTACATTGCTTAAGAAAAGTTTGATCTGGAACCTATTTTAAGTTAGACATCATTTGATGCTGTTACCTAGTTAACTTCAAGACTAGATCACTTGTTCAAGACTAGGCCATACTGAAAGAAAGTTCTAGAAAGTAATTTTCTCAAATTACTTCATATCCTGCAGTTAAATACTTGGTAGCAAGAAAGAACCTGGGGTGTTGGAGGATGAAAGACCTATGACCTGGAAGGGCAGGGAGCCCATTGTGTCCAGGGTCAAGACAATTTATCTCCAAAGGGAAAAGGATGGGAGGGAGTGTGTTATTCATTTCCGCCTACTCCAGGCTTCATAGCAGGTGCCCCCCAAATTTATAGAGATTTTACCAACAAAGTGTATAGTTTCAGCAACTTTCATGTTCTACATTTCCTCTTTATTATGATCAGGCTTGAAACAATTGCCCTTATCTCTAACATAACAACCATCTGGCAGAGAAAGATGGACAATAATTATTGAAAATCAAACTCAGGAACTGTCCACATAGTTCACAAAAGTTTTACTCAGCTGTCACTTACAGAGGCTTTTCTGCTAATTCTAATTGCTCAAGCTAGTAATATACCAAGACCTGACATTAGTGTGGAGGGAAATACACTTTTCTCACTGGTTACATAGGAGCAACACACAGAGAGGGCCAGCAAATGTGCTTGAATAAATCATATAATTGACCACAGAGAGGAATAAAAATAGAAGTTAAAGATGTGCTCTCTTCTTGTCAAATATCTACTTGTTCTTGTTTCTTTATGATGGACTTTTAAAAAACATCTTATCAAAATTAAGAAAATTGAGTCTTAAAAATGCTCTAGTGATAAATTATTCATATAGATACTCTGATTTCAAACTCATACTAAATGGTAATCATTTCAGCTCTTGTTAAAAGGCGCATGATATTACATTTGGCTGTAAATGGAGCAACTGGACTATAGCTGGAAGAATTCAGACTAACAATTCTGTGACTTGTTTTTCCCATTGTTTGTTTATTCATTTTTTTGTTTGTTTTTTACCCTTTTACCTAGGCAGACAGAGATAAGAGCAAAAAGCCAAGATTTTTGTGATTTGCCGAGTGGCTACTTGAAATGACAGGAGAAAAGATAATCTTAACAGGCAAGGCTTCACCCTGCAAGAATGATGATCTGAAGTGGAAACATATTTGTAATTCCACGTCTTGGCTAGACTGTAGCAGATACAATCAGACTGAATGAACTTCCATTTGCAAAGAAGGGTGGTCAGGAGAAAGGGCAGGAAATGGCCTAGGGATCCCCCCTAAACAACCACACAGTTCCCACTGCCTTGGGGAGAAGGACAGAAGTGAGAGCAGGAAAACATGCATTGCCTGGATTGACTCAAAAGTAAAGTAGGTGACTGGCAACAGAGGTAGAGGTGGGTGAAGAGTGGCAAGGTTGCTTGAGCCAAAGCAAAAGTAGGACTTGGAACATTAATTTCACCATGGCAAGAAACGTGAACCTCGAAGCCTGGGGTTGGAGTCTGAATGTAAGTGAGGATTAACAGCAAAGTCCAGCACTCACCACACCCCTTACCCAACGAAACGTCTTTGCAGTTGCACTTAGTATGAAAAGTAATTGTCTGACATGAAATAATGGAATACCCAACTTTAACACACTTTAAAATAGATAAACATACATGACAAGGTTATTCGATGTCATGAAATTAAATTTTATTACACTTACTGGTGCTTCTAATTTGAAGTTTTTACATTCTTTCTGTGTGCTGTTATCTTGTGACTTTGCTTCACGATAATAAAGAAGCAATTTCCTTCCACGTGGTGCCTCCATTATATTGCCTCCTGACCTTTTTGAAAGCTTAGATAGATTTTAATAAATAGTACTAATAAATAGTACTCCTAAAGGATAGCATCCGGAAATGGCTGCTGCTATGCAGACTAAGCAAAGAAATAGATTTTATTTATATCTTGATTTAAAAAGGTGCAAGCTCATATGTAGAGCTCAAAATGCTCATACTGTAAGGGATGGGAAAAAAAATAATGAAATGCAGTAAGGAATGGTTAGGCACAGAGACGTTAAGGTACAACACCATTGTTGCTGAGATAATTTACTTCATCGAAATAATTTAGACTTAGCGTCCCAAACAATAGAGTAGTGAACTAGCAATAAAACCACAAAACACATCCTACGCAAGCCTCAGGGAGGGAAGTGTGAGTATTTTACAGTATTTTACCACCCAGCGGCCTCATTCTATGGAGCACAGGCATAGACAATCTGTGTGATTTACAGGAAAACAAAACCATGCAAAGTTTCACTGATGCTAGATGCAGCTGGAGTGTGATATTTACAGTTTTTGGAAATGATTTCAGCTCGGCCATAGCTCTTCCTCATAGGGATCTTGATGTATTCAAAGAAAAGAGGTTTCTTAAATGGCTTCTCAATCGAAAAGACACATATTTTAATGCAAGGATACATATTGTTGGGTACCTGGGAAAATCCGAGCGAGGCTTGGGGAAGGGACCCTCACTGCGGAGCTCAGTGCCAACCTTCAGCACGCTCTGCCAGCTGCTACCCTGCTGTCACCTTCTCTCTTACAGATCCTCTTGCTCTTTTCTTTATCTGCCTGCATCTCTCCTGCTCTATACTACCTGATTCCTCGCACACAGCCAAAACGCTGAAGGCTTGTGTTGTGCAACTTCTCAGTTAAGAATCTGGCATGTGCTGTCTGTTTTTCATCTTAATCTCTAGCTTCCAGTAGAGCACATAGGGTTGGCTGAGCTTATCTCTGTCTGAGCGGACCCAACAAACTGACCCAAAGTTTAAGCAATGCCCATTGTAGTATAAGGAACAGGTAGGTGGTTTCACTCAAAGCCAGAAGCAGAAGAGTGCCCAGACTGTGGCACAGACAGGTTCGGGGGAAGCCAGAGGTAATTTAGAGTGAAACCCAAACAGTGCCGGGAAGGGGAAGCAGCCTGGGGGTGGATCTGTGCCCTGAGGTCAGCCGTCCAGACAGGAATCCACACCTGGGCGCAGCCTTTGGGAACCTTCTTCTCCCTAAGCTGTGGGAATTAAGTAGGAGTCTTAAATACTAAAAACACACAAAAGGAAATAGTGCCATTTACACAGGCATCAAATCAAAGAAGTAAGAAAGGGGAGATTCTGAAATGGAGAGAAAGGCTGTAGGGTTCTGCACAAAGGGTTCAGCCCTCAAAGCACAGTGGCTTCTGCCATGTCACCACGTACAGGCTTCTTGGTCTGATGGACTACAAGTCCAGGACAGAAATGCCACAAGGTCTCCCCAGCGCTAGGGATCTACAGCACAGCCAGGCTAGTGACAGTCTAAACATTTATGTGTTCCGAGAAATGATAGCAGAACGAGCAAAAGCCAGTCACCATAGTACTTACTTAAGGTCTGCTACATACTGGGGTCATTCTTAAACCCTTTTCAGACACTGATCCATTGTGGTATTTATACCCAGCCTCGGAACTTTTATTATGATCATTTTAGTGAAAAAGAAACTGAGGTAGAGATAATATTTTTTAACTGCCAAAATTATAAAAAACAAGCAGTTGAGGTAGAGTCCACAACTCGATTTTTTTTGTCTTTTTGAGACAGGTCTCTCTGGCAGTTCAGGCTGGCCTTGAATTCACTTTGTAGCCCAGGCTGGTCTCAAACTTGTAGCAATCCTCCTGCCTCAGCTTCCCAAGTGCTATGGACACAGCTCAATATTTTTGCACTAGCGGATACAGTGTTTCTAATAAGAGGCACCTCCAGGAGCCCTTAGATTTATTTTTTTGGTAAATATGTTGACAGCAGGGATGAAACAATATGTAGCAGATAAGAAATAAACTGCCATGGAAGCACTTATTTATTAACAATGTATGGGTAAATATATAATTTTAAAAGGCAATCATGATAAACATGAAAAATGATAAAAATATGGTAAATACATAATTCCAAAAAGCAAAAATTGGGGATGGGAGTATTTTTTTAAACCTCTTATAAAAAGAATTTTAGAACGTGATAAAAGAAGTTACTCAAAAATGATTATGTTCCCCGCCACTCACACTCCTTTGCTGGCCACTGGGAGGACATTTATTCTGGTGAAAGACAAAAAGGATTCTTGCAAAGTTAGCTCCAAAGGTGGAGGGTCCCATTTGCCTCACATCACCATCCCAGCTGGCACAGCTGTGCCAGGGGACCCTAGTCTCACTCCCTACTGCCCAGGATGGGGGACTTTAAAGAAGCCACTTCTCTTTAAAAAAATAATACAAATAATACAAATAAAAGTAAATTCTAAGTTTTGACATTCCCAGGTACCATAGTGCCTAAACTTTTATTGTAAGCGGTTTCTTTCATTTTTCCCTCCACTGAGAGCAAAACAGAGGCAGGCTTTGGGGGAGTTTGGCAAAAGGAGACTAAATAGAACTGGCTGACCTCACAGGAAGCTGGCTCTTCCCAGCAGCTGAGATCACTGGGGCCCGCGGCTCCCACCCGCACAGATAGGCTCAGAGCAGGCACTTCAGGCTGAATAATCTCCAATTCCTACCTCCCCTGTCACTGCGGGCCAGATCAGATTTCACTTCCTTCATATTCTCCAATCCTCATGTGCTCGATCTGTTTAAAAGAAGAAGTGGAGAAGAGAAATCCTCATTTTCAAGTCTGGAGGGGGAAGACAAAATACCCTCAAGCCCGCTGGGAACAACAATCTTCCCAAGAAATTTCCTCAGAGATTTTACTTGTGAGTACTCGGGAATCTACTATCTAGCCCATGACAAATTATTTTTCCTTCTTTTTCTTTGGGGAAAAAGTCAGCGAAGAAGGGAGGTAGAAGTTCACTTTTTTTTTCTAAAATAAAAATCAGCTCTTCTTTATAAACAAAGTAGACTCATATTGCAATAGCAAATTAAGTTCTCAGCATCTTGTGCTTATTTCTTAAGCAAATGTATGAGCAGGGTTTTTGTTTCAGACCGTGAACATTACTCTTTGATTGTTAGCCTTTTCATTATTTAAGATTTTAATAGTTTAAGATTGTAGATTTTTCAGTAGTTGTGCCTGCCTAATTGGACAGTTCAGTTTACCTTTAAATTTCATTCAGAAACTTATGAAGAATTACCAAAAGAGTGCCTACCAGCCTAAAATGAAATAGAAATATTAGAATTCTTGAAGTAGAAATATTAGAATTCTTATAATCTAAATAATTTATGTCAGCATTAACTAACATCTCTAAGAAAATATTTTACATGTTTCTAAAGAGGAAAGCTCATATTCTGAGATATTTAAATGAGAATATTTATGATCAAGTCTATATACTATGCACATGTGTAAAGTAAAGCAATAGATTACACATATACAACGTCTGTTATGTACTCATTGGTTAATAAGTAATATTAAATTGTCCTTCTAATCGTCTGGAAAAGCATACAATTAAATATACTCCCACAGAACTGGAATTATTTAATTATAGAAAAAGTTCATTTCTCCAAAAGAATTAAAGAAAACTGAAAGCCAAGAAAATACCATGGCAAAAAGAAAAGATAAGCAACAGGCTCACTGTGACTCAGTGCTCTGGAAATTAGTCACAGAGTGACTCTGTGTGACAGGAGATAGCATAAACACCAACGACAAAACCCACGCAGGAAGCCTAGAGCCCAGAAAGCTGTATTTCATGAAGAAAGACAAAATACTTCTGTCAGGAGGGGAAAATTTGGGCAAGCCTGAGACACTGAAAACTGTTTGAATCTGACATGATCATTTTGCAAAACATTTTAAGAATTCTTTTAAATTCTTCACTTTGGTGCACAATTCCTTTGGAATGCATTGTTTCTGTCTCAGTGGACAAAAGACTGAACAGTCTCTCAGAACTGACACGGGGATGGAAGTGTCCATCTGAAAACTTTGGGTTAATAAAATGACATAAATGTTAACAGGATCAACATGAGCTTATGTACGTTAAGACACAAAGCATAAAACCTTAAAAGAAAATTTTTGAAGCACTTTTTAACAACAGGAGTAGGTATTGCAGGAAACCAAATTCACTTTCTTTGCATGACCATATAATCCTCCGGGAAATCTTAATGACATATTCATGACTGGTCAGTTCCTCTTGCTTTTAGCTATGTTGAGCTGGACATGTATTCCTTTTATTTTTCTCTTTACCTTAAAGTTTGTTATCTGCACATCCAGTGACTAAATATGACTTGTGCAAATCGGTATTTTCATCCCGATTTTCAATCCCCTGATGATCGTCTGTTATCATACGTTTTATATATTTGTTGGTTGAACTAGTAATTTGACCAGCATCTTCTATATAAACATTATTCCATTTAAAAAGTATAATACAAGAAATCTAAGATGATCTTTGTGTGAAGATGCAGTACTCAGAATATTACTCTGTTCCTAAACATGGGAAGCATGGCAAGCTGTTGAATGAAAAAAAAGACAAGTTCGAATGATTTTATTTACTTGTTGGAAATGAGGAATGTATCCAAATAGTGGATGTGCTATATTATTTAGGAACGATGGGTTGATTAAATTCAGCATCACAAACCTATAGAAAGATTTCAAAGTAAACGTACTTGAAAAAACCAAAAGTAGCCACATATGGTAGCCAACATCTGTAATCTCAGCACCCAGAAGGCTGAGGCAGGAAGATTGCTGCATATTTGAGCCCAGCCTGGGCCACAAAGACAGTTCAAAGGCCAGCTTGAGTGCACAGTGAAACCCTGTCTCAAAAAGACAAGAAACAAAAATCAACAACTAAAGAAAAGATGATAAAAAAAAATGAGTAGATAAGCATTTTCAATAAAACTTTATTAGTATGAAATAACTTCATAGAATGGTAAAATTATATCAGCAGTTTACTTTTGCTCTGTAGCTCATCCAGTCTCAATAAAAGATTTCTCTAGACACTACCCTATCTTCTTTATTACCCATCACTTATTTAAGTAATTTAACTTAGCGAATGGTCATTTTAAATAAAAATGTTTTGAAGATGTCCATACCCAAAGTAGTCTGATCCTTTGATAGAGATGCAGGTATACTAATTTTTCTGATCATTGCCATGTGTGTTAGATGTTAACATGCAGTGCCTACTGGAATCTTTGTTTTTGAGTATCTAATTTCTCAAACATGAGTAAAGGGTACATTTTTTCCCCAGGAAATTGTTTACGTGCTAGAGCATCCCTCTGAGTGACTGCTCTTTTAGTAGAGCATTATGGATTAGCTCCAGAAGTGCATGGCCCTTCTCCGGGCTTCACTTCTCCAAGTGACAAGTGGAACTCAGAGCCAGGCCCTAAGATAGCAAAAAGCTGAGGACAAATCATTTTTCCAACCAACAATAACAAGTCCTTGATGTCAGAGTCACTGTTTTCAGCTTGTTTGGGCCTCCCCTTGGGATTCTATGTTCTCACTTAGCTGGATCATCTACATTTTAAAATTATTTCTAAAAGAAAAGGTTAAAGGACATCCTGGCCCACTTTGGAAGTCCCAATACTGCAATAATTACACTCCAGAAGCTTCATCTGGTATTTGGGCACTTCTGGGGGAACCTGGAGTTATCGAAAAACTTTCTCAATTGAAACATGATCAAGGAAGCATTGCATGTTTTCAGGTAGAGTCTAGTAAACTCCTTGAACATCAGGGCTGTGTGCATATGCATCAGCAGAACGCTGATAAAATGTGAAACGTGTCAGGATTCCCACACTCACGTGCCGGTAACACATTGGCACTGTGCCCTCCAATGCCCCCTCCACTCTGCCCACCTCAGTTTTTCTTCCTATGCTTGGTCTCATCCATTTCCATCAAAACATTCAACTCTATGGAAACACCCTCACCTCTTTCCTTATTTTCCAAGGTTTAAAAGTAGAAGAAATACCATTACTCTCTCAAATAAGGGTGCTTTTCGGATAGTTTAATATTGATTTTAAAGTTTGTTCAGGAAGCTTCAAAACCCAAAGTTGTTTTCATCCAAGTAAATGAGCCAAAATAAGTGTATTGAGCTGTTCCATTGTGTCTACTGTTGTCTTTTCCTGTACAACTGATTTCAAATGTCCCTAAGTACAAAAGGAATGAAATTCTGATGCATAGTACATTAGTCTTAAAAGCATTAGGATAAGAGTCATAAACCAGATGCAGAGAGATGAAGTGTATAGCTCTGCTTAACTGAGTGTCTGTAACAGGGAAGTTTATAGGAAGAGAGCTGCTGGTCACCAAGGGCTCTGTGAGTGGTGAGTCACTGGTTAGTGCATACAGTTTCTGTTTGAGGTGATGAAGATTTTTGGAAATAGATATTGGTTGCATGGCATCATGACCATAATTAATGATCCTGAGTTGTGCACTGAAAAATTGTTCAAATGTCAAATTTCTTAGTATATACATTGTACCACAATAAAATCAGTGAAAAGCACATTCATAATTCTAAAAAGAATTCTAGATTCTTGAAACATCTCTTTGTACTTTCTAAATTAACACATTAATTGCATAAGGTTTTGAATGATGATTGTCTGAACTTTTTACAGAATCTGATCTTCAGGATGGAATTTGGGACACTTTTGCCAGATGTTGCTATATAGGTGCTAATTATTTAATTCATAACATTTTCTCTCTGGTTATAGTATCAGGGTAATTCCAACCTTGTACAATGAGTTGGGAAGTGTTCTTTCCATTTACTTTAATATTCTAAATGGTTTATAGAAAATTGATATTTTCCTTCATTAAGTGATTGATAGCATTCTCTAATAAAGCTGTCTAAGGCTAGACTTTGTGGGAAATTTTGAAAGTATGCAATTTAATTTAAAATATAGCGATAGGACTATTCAGTTTATCTATTTCTTTTTGAGTTACCTTTAGCACTTTGTGTATTTTAAGGAATTGGTATTTTTCATCTGTGTTGTCAAGTGTTGACACAGTGTTAATAATATGTCTTTAAATTTATCTATTTGCTCAGGAGTCAGCTTTTGGATTCATTGATTTCACTGGTTTTCTATTTTCATTCCATTGATATCTACTCTATTTATTATTTTCTTGCTCTGTATTCCTCTATAATATTGCTTTGAGTTTGTTCAATATATTATGTTGCAATGTGCTGTGTTTTTATTTAGTTCAAAATATTTTTTAGTTGCCCTGGGTTTTCAATATTTATGCATAAGGTATTTAAACGGATTATTTATTTACAAATTTGGGGTATTTTCCAAAATATTTGAAGTGTTTTTCTTTTATTTGTAACCAGTTTAGTGACATTAACATAGGAGTTCATATTTTATGTGGTCTGAATGATTTCTAATTTGTTGAGACTTAGTTCATAGCCCTGAGTATAATGCGATTTGGTCAGTGTTCTCTGGTAAGTATTGTGGAGTGGAATATTTTATAAATGTCAATTAGATCAAGTTAATTAATAATGTTGAGTAAATCTTTCATGTCCTCATGCGCTATTTTTTGTCTAGTTGTCCTCCTGCATAGTGGAATGCAGTTATTTTAATATCTGACTATAAATCTTTATTTTAGTTTTTGCTTCACATAATTTGAAGCCAAACACATTGCTAGGAAACTAAGTGTTTGTTTTTGTTCTCTTGATGGCTTCCTCCTTTTATTTCTAATAAAACAACTTTTCATCACTGGTAATATCATTTCCTCCAGAGTGTCATTTTGCATTGATGTAGCCACCCCAGGTCTCCCTTGACAGACACACACACGCAACATTATTCTATACTTGTGATGTGTTTTCACATAGAGAGTGGGCTT